CAGAGCCAGAGCCAGAGCCAGCTGGGCGTGCGATGATGACGTATACGTTGGCAAGTCGAGTACAAAAACCTTCATCCGTCATATGCCGAGCTGAGTTGCACTTGGCAGCGAAGTCAGTCTCAAGTTTGTGCAGGAGTTGCTGTCACACACACACGCACACACACACACACACATGCAGACATGGGCTTCAGTATTAAGTATCACTCATACGCACGCAGCTGGCTGGCAACCAATATGCCCCATTTGAACCTCACGCACAGCGTATAGCAAATGAAAGCCAAACCCGAACTTCGCAGGCCAAGCTGCCCCAACTTAGAGTGTCCCTAAAATAAAAAGCAAAGTTAACAAGTTGTTGCCTTTTGTGCTACGCATAAAGTATGTATATTTATGTGTGTCTGTGTGAGTGTGTGTGTGTGTGTTAGTGTGCTGGTGTGTGTACTTACTATATATACATTTCAATGTGGCTTTAGAGTTATGGAGCGATGTGCAGATTTCTGTTATCTCTTTGTTGCCGCGACCGGTAAATGGCGAGCAAGCAAATTTTTGAGCTCATCTCATCTTTCGGCCCCTCGACTACCCGACTCCTGGACTCCTCGACTCCTGCACTCCTCGACTCCTCGGCCCGTCGGCTCCCCGGATCCCCGCACAATAGCCTTTCTCGTCTTTTTGGCATATTTTGTCTTTTTATTTCGGGCGTTTTGTTGGTGGCCTTAATATAAATTCGTTAACGTTAACCTTTTGGCAGCTGGCTGGCGTTATCCTAAATCAACAATGCCTGCAACAAGGACTTAGGACCAAGGAGTTGCCTTCAATTGTGCCAATTGCCAGCCGCTTGTCAGTTAATCAAAATAAAAGCCCCCAGCCAAAAAAAAAAAGCAGTCAAGAAGAAGAAGACCAAGATGGAGCTGGAGAAAATAAAGCGAAAAAGTGGAGGCAAAAAAAAAAACTTTTAAATAACAAAAGAGTAAACGCGGCCAGAAGACTTTCAGAGGACTCGATCAGGACTATGGCTGGCTATAGGCGTGGCTGGTGTTGTTTCTGCTTCATGTTGTTGTTGTTGTTGCTGTTGTTGTTGTTGTTGTTATTTTTCTTGTTATAGTCTGGCGCGCCGCCAAATACAATTTTTTCCCGTTGCTTTTTTGGCACACAAAACCCAACACGTTGTGCTTCATCTTCTTCTTCTTCTTCGCTTTGCTGTGTTGGGTTTTCTTTGGCTTTTTTGTTGTTGCTTTGCATTTCTCGCCTGCGATTTGGCGTTCGCCTCTCGCCTGCCTTCTCTCGCCTCCCTCCTCTCGTCATGGACCATATTTTAGTGCATCGATGGCGAAATATTTTTCAATTTTTCAACACATTTGGCTGGTAGCAGCAAAACGTTGCTCATATTTTCACAAGCTGTCAACATATATCTTGTTGTGGGTGGGGGCCGTGTAGGTGGCGCCACTGTTGACGGCGGCTCCTGCTGCTGCTGCTGCTGCTGCGTGTGCATTTCTGGCAGCACTGTTGCTGCGGCAGGCAACGGCAGTGGCAGTTGCAGTGGCAGTGGCAAACGGCAAACAAGACTTGTAGCAAGTGCGCTCATGCCATGGCCACGCCCACTCACATATGAAAATGACTGTACACACACACACACACATACACAGGGACAGAGATGAACACACACACGCACACTAACTCACGCTCCCGCTCACTGATTGACAAAGGCAAAGCAGATGGCGGGGCAGCGAAGGGACTGCTTCTGCCACTAGGTGGCGTCTGGCGGCTAGCGGCAGGCGTTTGCTTGACAGTCAGCGCCAAACATGGCATAAAAATCAGCGCCGACGCTCGACGAGCTCGCTGGCTCGTAAATGGGCAAAACACTTTTACAAAGTGCAGCACATAAGCACACACATACACAAGCACAAACACGCACTCACGCACACAAAGAGAATAGAGCGTATGAGGGGAGAGTTAAAGCGAGAGTAGTGAAGATTTGTTAACGCAATGGCGGCGCACTTAACACTCAGCTTAATCTCCATCCATCTCCATCCCGCCCGCCCAGCGACAGAATTGATGGCGTTTTTGGCGAGCGACGCTTGATGCGCGCGTTTTCAGCTCGATTTGATGGTGCTCTTTGCAGTGCCTTTTGATTGCCGCTCCTGACCTCAGCAATTAAAGTCGCCACGTAAAGCCTAGCCTAGCGCCCGACTCGTGACACGCACGTGCGTGCGTGCGTGTGGGTGTGTGCGTGTGCTGGTGCGTCTGGGTTTGATTTCAATTTAGTTGTGCTATTGCCTTGCTTGGTCTACCACAACAAAAAATAAAAAGGAAAAAAATATAAGCCAAATAGGCATAAAGTAGACCGAGTACATGCCTCTGTCTCCCTCTCTCTCTCTCTCTCTGCTTCAATTACCCTGGAAATCCGGCCGAAAATAAAACCTCGCATTCGGCAAGCATTTGCCTAGTCTCGGTCGCGGTCACACATTGCATGCCAATTGATGATGATCCTGATGAGCAGTGGAGCGTGGGCTAGGCGGGCAGGGGGCGGAGGTAAGTGGGCGGGCGGCTGGTGCATTGGCATGTGAAAACGCGTTCAATTGAAACTGGGTTACAGCTTTGGGGTTACGGGTTATGGGCTGTATGAGCTTATAGGTTATATGGCTAATGGCGTAGATTGGGTGCGTATGTGTGTGTGTGTGTGTGTGTGTGTGTGTGTTTGCTTTTTGTTTTTTGATTATACGAGCACATATTGGCAATGGCCATGGCCAAAGAGCAGCCCAGACATCGAGGTCAGCTGATTGAATATACATACATACATACATACATATGTATGTACATACATCCCACGATTGTTGCTGGTGATGCTGATGATTTGGAGCAGGTCCTGAGCGGGAACTAATTGATTGCCTGACAAAGATTGCACATACATACATACATGCATATATGTATACACCTATATGTGTATGTATATATGTACATATGTATATAAATAGCTGCAGTTGGGGCTTTTGCGTGCGCTCGGTGACATTTTGATTGATTGTTGATTAATTTTAATTGCTTTGGCAGTGACTGAATGGCCTTGTGATTAATTGTTTGATTGGCAGCCTAATTAAATATATATAGAAGTATTAATGATTGTCAAAACAAGTTTGTAATTCAGATTTACCACTGTTCAGTGAAATTAGCTGACCGTCGCTGATGATTGAAATGCAATTTTGATTGATGCATTTCTGATTCGTGGGTGTGACACATCTCACATCGTTTGATCAACTCACTTCCAGTTCCATAAATACACTGATCGATCAGGGGGCGCGAAGTACTTAATTGGCGATTCTTAACGATTTCCATTTACAAATTCTTATTGTTTTCCAATACATTTTGACAAGCAAAGCTGCCAGCGTAGCCACCTGTAAATATTTTGGTCAAATATCGCTATGCTATCGGATATTGTAAATAATAGATGTGAATAGATGTATCAATATATTATGTAATCCTTTTACTTTTAATTAAACATATTGAAGCGTAATATTTCAAACTTCCAAGCATTCGAGACAATTATTGCAATATGCCATTCACAGTAAACGTATGCAAAATATCGGCTTATCGATACTTTCCTGTGCTGGCAATGATCAATAGCTGGTTTAGCTATTTAGTCCACTGACGTGTTCTTATTGCTCATTTTAGCTTTCGAGCAAACAGACGTGAAAAATTTCTTTTAAAATCAGATTACAACCTTTTCAATATTCGTGAATATCATAATTAATAATTAATAATAAATAAGTATCATAATTTTATTGGTTAAAGCAGAGACACATTTCTTGTTAAATCAGGTAAGTTGTTCACAAAACTTTGTAAAGTGTAACTTGATGCTATAGCCTTGAAAAGAGAAAAGCGTAAATGTTTCTCCATCGTTCCATGACATTCTAGAATTTTTTTTTTAATAAAGTAAGTTCACAAACTTTTATANGCCCTACCCGTCTGTCCGTATGTGGGAACGTTTTTATCTCCTAAAACAAAACAGTTAGAGGCTTAATTTTCTTTCAAGGTCCCTGTTTGTAGTATGTACCTATAAGACTTTTCGCAGGCCGAAGCTTCTAGGGTAGCCACATGTACAAAATATGCATTAAAATCAAAGTATCAATAGCTAAGCTCGTGAATAGTTTGGGACTATCGATACTTTCCTGTGCTGGCAATGATGAATAGCTAGTTTAGCTATTTAGTGCACTGACGTGTTCTTATTGTTCATTTTAGCTTTCGAGCAAACGGACGTGAAAAATTTATTTTAAAATCAGACTATAGCCTATTCAACATTCGTGAATACCATAATTAATAAATAATAATAAATAAGTATCGTAATTTCATTGGTTAAAGCATATAGAGACATATTTCTTGTTAAATCGGGTAAGTTGTTCACAAAACTTTGTAAAGTGTAACTTGATGCTATAGCCTTGAAAAGAGAAAAGCGTAAATGTTTTTCCATCGTTCCATGACATTTTAGGTTTTTTTTTAATAAAGTAAGCTCACAAACTTTTATAATATGTACATATGTATATACATAGTATGTATGGACATATTTGTATACTAGAGCCTTTTATAGTCAGGGTACGTAAGCATTAACGAATAGTAATTATTTTGTAMATAAGTAAATTTTGGGATATCATATGTATTTAAGAGTCAGAAAGCGGCGTAATGAACCCCATTAAGTGCATATATTCTTGATAGGGACGACGAGCTGAGTCGACTTAGCCCTGTCCGTCTGTCCGTATGTGGGAACGTGTTTATCTCCTAGAAGAGGCTTAATTTTCTTTCAAAGTCCCTGTTTGTAGTATGTACATATAAGACTTTTCGCAGGCCGAAGCTGCTAGCGTAGCCACATGTACAAAATATGCACTAAATTCAAAATATCGATAGCTAAGCTCGTGAATAGTTTGGGACTATCGATACTTTCCTGTGCTGGCAATGATGAATAGCTAGTTTAGCTATTTAGTCCACTGACGTGTTCTTATTGTTCATTTTAGCTTCCGAACAAACGGACGTGAAAAATTTATTTTAAAATCAGACTACAACTTATTCAATATTCGTGAATACCATAATTAATAAATAATAATAAATAAGTATCGTAATTTCATTGGTTAAAACATATAGAGACATATTTCTTGTTAAATCGGGTAAGTTTTTCACAAAACTTTGTAAAGTGTAACTTGATGCTATAGCCTTGAATAGAGAAATTCCATGACATTCTAGAACTTTTTTTTTTTTTAATAAAAGAAGTTCACAAACTTTTATAATATGTACATATGTATATACATAGTATGTATGGACATATTTGTATACTAGAGCATTTTAAAATCAAAGTATTAATAGCTAAGCTCGTGAATAGTTTGGGACTATCGATACTTTATTGTGCTGGCAATGACTAAAAGCTGGTTCAGCTAGTCATCGCACGTTCTCATTTTCGAGCGACAAACGCACGTGGGAGATTACTTGTGAAATTATTTAGCCTTTAACAATCAAACTACGTCAATATATCATCAGCGCATCGTGCAATTAAGCTTTCGAGAACTATTTCCCTTTGAATTAAGTAAGTTATTCACATAAAGAATATTTAATAAAAGTGAAATGCAAGGAAACCTTCGAGAAGAATTTATTGTTTAAAAGGGGGGAAATTTTTCGCTAATATTAGTAGTATGTATTTTTATGTTATAGGTACTCAAATATGTATATTTTCATCATGTTGTCCGATAAAGGCTTCATTGGTAAAACCTAAGAGCATTTTTATTTATGAGTAGTCATTATTTGATAGGTAACTTTTTAATCTAATACATAGATGTCTGTACATATGCATGTATGTATGAGTTTTTGCAGACCAGTGTAGCCACCCGTACAAACATTCTTTATTTTTTCGCTGAAAAACTTAAGTATCGATACTTTCTGTTGCTTGCAGTTACCAATAGCTGTCGAAGTCAGTGGACTGTCGTGTTCTTATTGCACACTTCCGCTTTCAACAAACCTGCCGTGACAAATTTCTTGTGGTATCATATTGGAACCTATTGCAATCGACATACACAAATACATCATCTTCCCAACGTTCTAAGGAACTTTCGAAAACGACTTTTGGTAAGTTATTCAGAAATCTCTCTGCAATTTGTGTTTAGATAGCAAAGCCTTTAATAAAAGATTTACGTAAATGTGCACACTCATATGTATGTATGTATGTACGTACATACACACATATGTAAATGTTCATCGTCTCCTTGCTTTTAATCAAGTAAATTATTCAAAAATCATTGTTTTTTACATGAACGCGCTTTTTAAATTATTGCCGTTTACACATACATATAAAATGTTTCATAGATAAATGTTTTCGTCTGTATTGGAATTAGTAGCCCGAGCTGCCAGCGTAGCCATCTGTAGTAAAAATACATGTGCATAAATATCGCTGCCACTATCGAATATTGCAAATTGATTAGATGTATAAATATTTTATATTATTATTGTGCTCTTAATTTACTGGGCAATACTCGCATATTTTCTATTTATCAATTCAATTTTAACTATTATTGGC